ACTTTTGCCAGCAGTTCGTAACCTCGGCAGGGTGGGGTGCCCAACCTCCCCTCTGAGATACCTCCTTCTGCTGGAGCTCCACATCACTCACCCTTTGCAGGGAAGGAGTTCTCTGCCTCTGGCTTTCAGCCCCCGTTGCTCAATCCTGCAGTCTGGGGCGTGTGTCCGTCTGTTGGCCGTACGCCTGACGAGCTCTGATGGGTTCATCGTAGGTGCAGACTGGACAGCTGCGAACAAGGAGCCTTTTCTTTCCACCCGGTTCAAAATCCAGGAGCTCAGCTCCGGTGACAAGATCCATGTACGGGTGAAGGCTGTCAGCGCCAGCGGTGCCAGCGTCCCGGCCACTTTGGAGCAGCCGGTCCTCATCAGAGAGATCCTCCGTAAGTCCTGCTCCTGCGTTGCATGATTCCTGTGTGCTTTGTCAGCGGCCCAAAGAAATCCCAGTCCATCCCGGCAGCCTCTGCCCTGTCACATGTCACAATCCATCCTTTGACCGAGATGTTGTTCTCTACAACTGTGTCAAATTCCCTCGGGGTGGGACCGAGTGGCTTCCCCACCTCAAGACCTTGCAGATAGCGACGCTTTGGGTGCGAAGGACTCGAAATGCAGAGCCACGTTTTCCCATTTCATTGCAACGGCTCAAAACTTGTCTCCCTGGCAGCATATATCTCCCATCCTTGGCCATGCTTACATCTCTGATACGGCCTCACATTCACATCGGGCAGCTTTGTTTATTTAGCTGAGGAAAGTCCAGAGCTGGTTGTCTGGAGCATGGGAACTTTAATCATGCTGAACTCGCTAATGAATGACTTGCTCCCATGCTTGGCAAGACTCGCATTCCTCCCGGGGTGCTGCGAGTGTGCTGAGGCTGCTGGATGATGGCAAAGCCCTTTTCCACTTGTCAAACAGCAGATACAGATTTATTGTCCCTCTGCAAGCGATTATTAACACGTAAGTTTTCCTGTTGCTCAAAGAACATGTTGGATTTTTCGGCTGCTTAAAAATGGTAACAACAACAGTTATTCCAGGAACTATCAGCTTTCCATAGGAAAAGTCTTGGAGAAGGCTCTCAGCATCTAGAAAAGGTCCTGCAGGGACCGTCCTCGCAGTCTACCCATAGGGGAACATGGCTTAGTGGTTGGTGTTGGCTGCCGTGTTGGCCTCCAGATCTCAAAGGCACCCCGCCGTACCCTTGTAGGGCTGGGGAAACTGAGGCATGGGGGAACGAGGTGCCGAATACACAGCTGGTTTTTCCTATTTCTACCCCAGTGCTGCACCCACCAGCTCAGAACCCATGTCTCAGCTGCCCAAGCTTTGTCCCAGCCACGTGGAAAACCCAAAGAGCGGAGAGACCCACGCACCATTTGCTCCTGCTCCACGCTAGTTGGGTTTTTTCTTTCTTCTTTCTGTTCTTTCTGCTAACTGAAACTCTTCATCAGCAAACAGCGCTTGCCTACTTTTGCATTTCGTTTGCCATGCGCTGCCTGGCTTTGCCGAGGAACAAATTCGCCCTCGGTGTCCTTCTGTCTCCCCGCGTCCACCCCAGCAGCGCTGGTTTGCGTCAGGTGCACGAGGCTGCTCCTCTCCGCCCCATCTGTTACCGTCTGCTCTTTGCATTTTATTCGCGACTGCGTTTTCGTACCTCTCACCGGTTCATTTATAGCATCGCCAGGGATTTTAAATAGCAGCGATGCAGACGGCAGGGAGTGCAGAAACAGGTGGGATGAGTGGGCCTGGGAAGTGGAGAGAGACGAGGAGAAACCAGATGAAGATTGGGTGAGAGAGTCGCGTTTTGCAGGGAGCTGGGGTGGGAAAGACACATTCCCACCCACGGCCGGGTGTCACCAGGGCCACTGCCCTCGGCCAGCCCGCTCCGGTTGAGCAACGCATGCGTGGAGCTGGTGAAAAAACCCCTGAATTAACATTCCTCTGTTGAGGTCAGGTTTCTCCAGCCGGCTGAGACTGATGAGCCCAAGTGGCAGCATCAGTGGATGGATCCCTGGAGCGAACAGCAGCCCGAGATGAGGAGGGACTGGTCTCAGCTGTCACTGGGACCCCCGAGCATCTCCCCAGCCCACCGCCAGCCTTTCGCCCTCACAGCTGTTTAGCCATTGCTCAGCCCTGGTTTAATTCTGGCTGTGCCCCCTCCCCAAGAGCTAAGCTCCAGCACGTTTAATCCGGGCAGAGACACACATCTCTTTTATGAGGGGCTCACGTAAACCCAATGACTCTCCAGAAGGATACTGAGCTGGTAGGGTTACACGGCTGCTATTTTCACCCCGGGAAGGAGACACACGCTCCATCAGCATTCTCCAGTGGGTTTTTTTGCTTATCTTTGTTATGTTCCCTTGGGGACGTCGGCCTTCGCTTTAAGCCTGGGGTTTTCACAGCTCTGCTGTGAGTAACCGTGCACCACCTCGGTGTCTCGATGGCCTTGAGTGCGCAGCGAAGGTGGAGGCCTGGCGAGCCTTGTCCTTGAGGGAAGTTGGGGTTTGTGCCTCTGGAAAGTCCACTTTCTGAGCTGGGGGAGAAGTATTTCAGAAGTGGGAGATGCTGTTCTCTGCCTTGCTGCCATGTGCTGTGGCTCTTCTAGTGAAGACCATGTTGGTCCTCATGGCCTGGCTGTAATGACGAGGGTGAGTCGTCCATCGGGGTGGGGCCATGGGGTTGGTGACCTGGTGTCTCAAGGATGGAAATAACTTTGGGGTGCAGACAATGGGTTGGGCTGGCATTGCCCTGCAGCAAAGCAAGCAGCATCCGGGAGATGAGAGAGGGGCTGGCCATGTGTCTGGGTGGAATATCTTGGTGGCCAAGCAGGGGGAGGTGGGTCGGTCAGCTGGGGGCTGTGATTTCCTTGGCCCCACGGCGTGGCTTTCTGGTCCCCAGAGCTCCCGAAGATCCGCCTGCCCCGTCACCTGCGGCAGACTTACGTCAGGCGCGTTGGGGATGCTGTGAACTTGATGATCCCTTTCCAGGTAGGTGGACGATTTGGGATTGAATCCCCCAGGCTTTTTCACTGCAGGTTAGCTTCTGCGGTGCCTTTCCTAGCCACCATGACATGCCTGGGGCCAGCTGGGGGGCTGGCTTGTCCTGATCCCTTTGTCTCATGAGCCAAGGGTGGAAGATGGGGTGGGGACTTCCCTCCTGTTCCTGCCTAGCTCCCATTTTGCTCCTGTTATGTCTTTATTTATGATGTTGGCAATGGGACAACCCCAAACACGCTAGGGCATGGGCTAGGCTAGCTATTGCTGCTCTCTCAGTCCGTGAGCCTTGTTCAGCTCATGCTCCTGGCAGGGGTCTGGTCACACTCTAGAGGACCCCCACGCACAACAGTGGGGGTCCCACTGGGGAGAGCAGCTGCCTTCAGAGCAAGGCAGCCCCAGGGCTGTGTGATGCTGACACTGGTGGACCAAACTGGAGGTCCTCTCCTCAACTGGCAATCACATGCTGTCCGGGGCATCACCAAAGCATCTCCACCACAGTGTCTGGGATGGAGAAAACCAACCCTGAAACATGTTGGCCAAGCAGGGGGCAGTGAGAGGTGGAAAGCTGCCGCTGAGATGAGGGACATGTCCATGATGTGTCATGAATTGGGAGCCTATGCTGGCTGTGCTCTAGGCATGAACTGACCCTGGATGGTGGATTTAAGCCCCTCCTGCTAGGCTTGGACCTGAGCTCAGTGCTTGGGCAACTGGAGAACAGCTCTGCCTGCAATGCCTTGGGCAAGTAAAGCTGTTCTTTCTTGATGAGGACATTTGGGGACCACCATGTTCCAGAATCATCCCTGCAGGCCGATGGCTTCCCATCAGTGGGGCTGGCAGGGATCAGCTGTAGGCTTTTCCCTGGGGGCTGCTGGATGGAAGAGGCTGTGGCCAGGTCACCACTGCCTGAACAAAGAGTGGTGGCTCTTTCCCAGCAGAGTCCCAGTTGGGACCCTGTGTCTGAGTGGCTCCCAACCTGCCGGTGTGGTTGCTCCAGGGAAAGCCAACGCGGCCTGGGCCAGGGGTCATCCCCCCCCGACCCCCCAGCCGCATCAACATCCGCAACACGGAGAAGGACACCATCTTCTACATCCGCAGTGCGCAGCGCAACGATTCGGGCAAGTACGAGCTCGCTGTGCGGATAAACGGAGCGGAGGACAAGGCTATCCTGGACATCCGAGTGATTGGTAAGGCTGGGGATGGGACCCTGCAGGGTCACTCTGGGGCTCATTTCTGCCTCTTGGTTGAGGGTAGGTCTTGTTCTGGGTGGAATGGGGCACCAGCAACAAGGCAAGGGACTCTGTAGTCCCTCTTCCAGTGGGTTCTTCTCTAGGATCATGGAGATTTTTCCTTTGGTGAGACCTTTCCTGCAGTACTGTGTTCAGCTCTGGAGCCTTCAACATCAGAAGGACATGGGCCTCTTGGAGTGGGTCCAGAGGAGGCCACAGAAATGATGAAGGGATTGCAGCACCTCTCCTATGAGGACAAGCTGAGAGAGTTGGGGTTGTTTAGCCTGGAGAAGAGAAGGCTCTGGGGAGACCTTACAGTGGCCTGCCAGTGCCTGAAGGGGCTACAACAAGAAGGGGAGGGACTCTTGATCAGGAAGTGTAGTGATAGGACAAGGGATAATGGTTTCAAGCTGAAAGAGGGCAAATTTAAATTAGGCATTAGGAAGAAGTTCTTTAGTGTGACAGTGGTGAAACACTGGAACAGGTTGCCCAGGGACGTTGTGGGTGATGCCTCATCCCTGCAAGTGTCCAAGGCCAGGCTGGATGAGGCTTTGAACAACCCGGCCTGGTGGGAGGTGTCCCTGCTGGTGGCAGGGGGGTTGGATAAGATGATCTTTAGGGTCCCTTCTGACTCAAATGGTTCTATAGTTTTATGATATGATTTTATAGAGGTGACCTTCTGGTTCGGGCTGCAAGGTTTTGCCAATTGCAGCTCATGGGCAAGGGGTAATCAAGGCACGGAATGTGCAGGCAGCAAATTCAGATGCCACCCTATGGGGGTCTGTGTTTGCAGAGCCACCGGGCCCTCCCAAGAACCTGAAGTTGTTGGATGTGTGGGGCTTTAATGTGGCCCTGGAGTGGACCCCGCCAGAGGACAATGGGAACTCTGAGATTAAAGGCTACGTTGTGCAGAAGTCAGACAAGAAGAGTGGGGTGAGTCTGGGCATACCTGACAGTGGAGATGTCCTTAGGGGAGAGGGGCAGCTACACACTCCTGTCTCCACCCACACCTTCTCCATCCTTTGGACACCCTGCCTTTGGTCACCACTCTTTTTTTCTTCCTCTCAGAAATGGTTCACAGCGCTGGAGCACTGCAGCCGCACCAGCTGCACCATCTCCGACCTCATCATTGGCAACACCTACTCCTTCCGGGTGTTTGCAGAAAACGCCTGCGGGCTGAGCGAGAAAGCGGCCGTCGCCTCTGGGGTGGCCCACATCGAGAAGACAAGTGGGCACAACACCCTGGTTGAGGGGTTGGGGGTGGGCAAGAGGGGTCCTGTCCCCACTGGGGCTAACGGGGCTTCCTTGGTGTTGTGGTGATGCTGGTGAGCTCCATCCCCACGGCAGAGGTCCAGAGGTCCCCTGTCCTCTTCCTACACCTTTCTCCTTTGGGGAAGGCTTATGCTGTGGTCGGCCCCTTGGGAGGAGTGGTTGTCCCCGGAGTGAGATCGAAGCAGGAGTTGGGAGGGATGAGGAACAGCCCTGGTTTTGTCCCCACAGCTGAGGACCAGCAGAGGAAGAGACCCCTGCAAAGGTCCATCTTGGGGCCAGATCTCCAAACCAGCATCCCTCAGCCCTGCTCCATCTATTTCCACCCTGCTCCCTGGTAGCACGTAGCGAGTTGGGGGTCTCTGCCCCCTGCAGAGCTTAACTGCAGCTCCTATTTCTGCTCACTGCATTTTTGGGATGAAGTAGGAGATCCAGAGAGGTGCCTGCCCCGGGTCTGAGACATGATGCACTCAGCAAGCATCCCAATGTTGGTTTGCAGGCTGGCAGCTCCCCTGTCCCCAACAGGATCTGGGCACTACTGTGCCATGGTTGGATGAGAAAGGGTTTATAGACAGGGCTAGTCCAAGCTGAAGGCCGGGTCCTTGGTTCAAGCTAGATGCTGTTTGGCTTGTTATGTGAGGGAGCAGAAGAATTTTGGGGTACCTTGGCCTGAAACTCTGTGACCATGTGCTGGTCAGCCCAGGAGCCCAAGCCCTGCCTCAACCTAGAATTAATTCTTTTCTTAGAAACTACCTACCAGCCAGAGAAGATCCCTCAACGGGACATGATGGAGCCTCCAAAGTTCACCCAGCCCCTGACAGATCGAGCCACCACCCGAGGCTACAGCACACATCTCTTCTGCTGCGTCCGAGGCTTCCCCCAGGTTGGTGGTTTCTCCGTGGACATCATTGCTTTTGCACATAGGCAGGTTTTTGCAAGGTGGCTGGAGATGTTGGGAGACAGTTGGTCTTGTTGGATTGAGGTTGGGTGAGGTTAGGAGGCTGCAGCTGCCCTCTGAGTCAAACTGGGGCAAGTTTGGGCTGTTTCTACATGGAAATGGAAGATTGGTCTTAGTTCAAGCCATATTCTGTTGCCTTCTGCACTCAAAGAAGTATGGAGCATTGGTTTGGCCTCAAGAATGGGAGATTTAGCTCTTCAGACTACTTCTGAATGAATCCCACCATGGCCAACAGCTTCAGGAAGGGCCAAGGCAGAGGGAAGTAGCTGCATCTTGGGGCTGGTTAGATTTCTCATTTCTCTCCCTGCTTTAAACAAATAAATATGTCCTGCTGCATTCCAGCCCAAAATCATCTGGATGAAAAATCAGATGGAGATACGGGAGGACCCCAAATACATAGCGATGATCGAGCAGGGCGTCTGCTCCCTGGAAATCCGCAAGCCTGGCCCTTTCGATGGGGGTGTCTACACCTGCAAAGCTGTGAACCCCTTGGGGGAAGCCTCAGTAGACTGCAAACTTGATGTGAAGGGTAAGATTGGCCAAGGAGATAGAGCAGCAGGTCTCCTAGCCTGCATTTTTCTGTTGTCCCTTTCACAGGGGTGTGGTTTATCCCTCTTTTCTGTGGATCCTGGGTGATGGCAGAGCAAAGGACAGCCCTACAGACCTGGAGCTTCAGGCTTCTTGGGTTTATGGTCTTGAAACACCTTCAAATCACCTTCCCTCATTCATGGCCAAAAATTGGCCAGGTTGGATGAGGCTTTGAGCAACCTGGTCTGGTGGGAGGTCTCCCTGCCCATGGCTGGGGTGTTGGAACGAGATGATCTTTAAGGTCCCTTCCAATCCAAACCATCCTATGACTGGAGAGGAAACCAGAGACTGCAGGGCCAAAGGACCAAAGGTGCTGATGGAGGCTGGGACAGCTGCTTGCTCCTCACTGCATCTACCAGAAGTTATGTCCCAAGCCACCCACAAGGCATGTGTGCGAGGGCTGTGCTGAACCCCCTTCACTTGCAGCTGGGTCATTCTGATTTATGTCTCGGGATCCTGCCAGGGCTTCCCAGCTCACATTTCCCTGCCTCAGCAGAGCGCACAGCCCAGCCCTCGCATGGAGCGGCCCCACTTTGCTCCCTGAAGCTGCCTCCCCTGCCTGGCTGCAAGACCCATCTCGGCACGCAGGAGGACATGTGCCCCAACATGTGTTCCTTGAGCAGCGACATGTCCTGAAGTTGCATCAAGAACAGTGTGTCCAGCAGGCCTGGGGAGGTTCTCCTGCCCCTCTGCTCTGC